TGCCTCCACGGCGGCGGACACCTCGGCGGCGGCGGACTTGGCGGCGGCCTCCTTGGTGGTGGCCTCCTCCTTCACGACGACGTGGTCGTTCTTGACGCCGCACGCCTGGGCGAGGGCGAATACGCAAGTGTTCGGAGAGACCGGAGGGACGATGACGATCCTGGCGTGCGCACGTGCACGACCTTTGCTCCGAGGTCCGAAGACGAGCGCGTCGGCTTCACCCTCGCCGTGGTCGGCTTCGGCCAGCTCGCGCGCGGAGGCGCCGGCTGGGGCGGGGCGCTGGTGGAGCACGCAAGCAGCGGGGCGCGCGCGACGCGGCTGCCCGACAGCGATGCCGCTGAGGCCGAGGCTTAGGCTTGCGTGATGCCGGGATTCACGGGAGCCGTCGCCGCAAACTCGACGCCGCCGCCGGCTCGCACCATCGGCGAGATCTCCACGCGGATCCGCCCCCGGGGCTGCTGGTTGCCCGGCTGGAGTGCCTCGGAGATTTCTCGCGCCAACGCCCCGGCGTCGCTCAGCTCTGGCGGGCTATTGGCGGACTGGGTCTTCCGGCAAACGTGGCGCGCGGCGAGGGCGACAAAGCCGCCGCGCAGACGCCCACCTGTACATGGGGCTGGGGTTGCGGACGAGCGCGAGCCTGTGCGAGGCTTTCAACAGTGTACGGGCGACGCACGGTGGCGGCAACGGTGTAGGCAACGGTGGCAGTCGTCGACCACGGCTCCACGGGAACGGCCTCGTCCGACGTCGGCGGGGCCGGTGGGGCGTTGGGGGGTAGGCAGGCCTTCTGCAAGACATGGGACACGAGCACGAAGTCGCCGTCATCATCCGGGCTCTGCTGTGAGGAGTGGCACACCTTGTATGTCCCCGCCGCTGGCAGCCAGACAGGCACCGAACCGTTCGCGCTCATCTGGCCGCCCTGCGTGCTGCGCGCCTGCGTCGCGCCGTCGCAGTCCTTGCTCCCCGCGGGCATCAGTACGAGCCACTCGTTCACGCCGACCAGAGTGCCCTGCACGGATGAGAGGTGGGCGAGGCGTTAGCACCCAGTGATGCGCGGCAGGAGGGGCACTCCCCATCTCTCCGTCTCTGCTTCCCGGGAGTGCAAGGAACGGGGGAGCAGCAACCTCGACAACGACGGCGCTGGGCGAGCCGGCCGGGACGCAGCTTGGCTGCAAACGCAGATCGGGGGGCGACGGTGGGATGGCCGGCGGCGGCGGAGGCGCATGCGGCGGAGCCGATGGCAGGGACGGGGGAGGGGGCCGCGAGGAAGCGAATGCTCTTGGAGCAGATCTGCTTTGTCTGGCGGTCACACTGGTATGCGCACTCTTCCTGATGCAAAGTGAGGCCCTCCTGCCCGAGCCCGCTCCACGTGATGCCGTCCCAGCCGTCGCAGCCGCTGTCGTACATCTGGAGCTCGCAGGGCACGCCCGGAGACACGTCCGCTGCGAAGGTGCGCTCCCCACTCGAGCCGCCCGGCGCCATCGCCGCCACCTGCTGCTCGCGGCAGAGGAGATTTCAGCTATGCTCGGTTCCGAACTCTCCGGCGCTCACGGTGAAAACGTGCCGAGTCGCCGGCCCGTACGGAGGCAGCGGCGGGCTCGGCGGCGGAGGGCTCGGCGAGGCGGGGCCGCAAACGCAGCTGAATGTGGAGTTGCACTGCGGAGGCGGAGCGGACGGACTGTGGTAGCCGTCCTCATTGTAGAAGACGTAGTAGTATGAGTTGTAGAGGCAACCCCCAGGGTGCGACGACAACCTCTCTTCCGGGCGGTAATCCAGCCCGAGCTCCTCCGCCGCCTGCGCGCAGTCTTGCTCGGAGGAGATGGCGTGCGGGCAGAGGCCTGAAGCAACGATGTTGTAGAGGGGCGGCACAGCGGGCGGAGACGGGGGAAGCGGGGGCGGAGATGGGGGAGAGGGCGGCGACGACGGCGGAGGTGGCTGAGTCGGCGGCTGAGGCGGCAAGGACAGACACTGGCACAGCAGCCGGTTGCTGTAGCTGGAGTAGGTGCAGCCTGTTTAGCTGTGGCCACTGCGGCTGTAGTAGCAGGTCGAGCCCTCGAACGTCGGGTTACTGCTCCAGCCACCAGCGCTCGCAGTGCATGAGATTCCATGCTCAGCGTAGGCGATCACAATCTCCGACGCGGTGAGCTCGGGCATGTCCATGCATGTGCCACCCATCGCGAGGCACCCGGAGTAGCTAGCAAGGTGATACGGCGGGAGAGGCGAGATGGACGGCGGTGGCGGGGACGGCGAGGGTGGTGGCGGCGGGCTGGGCGGTGGCGGGGACGGCGAGGCGGACGGCGGCGGAGGGGAGGGCGATGTCGACGGCGGCGGAGGCGCGCAGCAGCCGTCGCACTCCGGACAGGTTTGTAGCAGTTCTTTCACTAGGTCGCATGCCGTGTTCTGCAGGGCACTGCAGGGAAGGGAGGAACTGCACTGCGCGGCTCCGAGGGCGAGGCCGCCGGCGGCGGTGGCGAGGCGAGGCTGCGGCGAGCGTCAGAGGAAGCAAACTCCAGATACCAGGTAGACTGGTTCACCGTAGGTTTTGCCGTTTGTCGGGCTAGCTCCCAGACAGAGGGGGAGAGGAGCTCATGCTTGTATTGAGGGCTTAGAATCGCCGTACGCGAAGAGGCCGGACCTCTCAGACCCCCCCGGACTCGCACACACGAAAAGGAGGCGCAGGGGTTGGACGGTGGGATGCGCGCGAGAGGGGGCGGGCTTGCCGAAGAGAGCGGACGGACGTAATGATCCAATTGCCAAAACGCGCGTCCGCGGCGTTTCGGCGGAGTTCGTCGATTCCGCTCCTGGCCCGCTCTCGCCAGCCCTTGCAGCAAAACACCATCATCTCGCCCATCCGGTCGAGAGCAAGCAGTTTTGCCGTTTGTCGGGCTAGCTCCCAGACA